GCTGTATATTGGAGCTTACAAAATCTTTACGAAAAGTCTCATTCTCTGACTGTCACAAAATAGATTGTCTTCAAATGGAGGTACACGAATGCTTTCCAAGGGGTTGTAGAATATTGATAATTTTTAGGGAATCAATTTGCAGATCTCACACTTTCCCAAAATGTATTTCCTTGAAAATAGATCTTTTGCTCTTTTACAAAAGTAATTCCTCACTCTCACCCACTCACTCCTGTAGCAAACAAAAGAGAGTCCCCCTTTTACACTATCCAAGTTCTATAAACCCTGAAGGGCTTCCTGTATTTCCTGGAATACACATTTCTGCTGAAGACGAAGCTTACTGATAAAAATGCAGCACCTTGGCTCTTGCTGGGCTGTTCCAATTTCAGATGTAGAGTGCGGGGTAGAGACAGAAAAAAGAAACATTTGTAATGACTTCACCTCTTCATTTGCTGACAATATCAAAGAATGAATGCTTCTTGAGTGAGAGTCCAGAAAGAGTTAAGCAAAGACAGCATCAGTAGGGAATACTGAATACCAAACAATACTTTGTCATGTATTTAAATGTAAATGATTCCTTTATATTATTCTTAATATCTTTCAGATGTATCATTAGCTAGAAAAAAAAGTATCTCAAACAGGCAAGGCAGAAAACTTAGTGAGAGTGATTCTTTTAAATGTGACTTGGAATAGTTTACAGAACCCAAAATTTCTGCAGGATGATGGTCAAAACTCATGGATAAAACTTTTATGTGATTTCTTTCCAATTTAGTATTTGTAATTCAGTAAGATAGTTATCAAGTCATATCTAGAAATACTTATTTCAACTATAACTTATCCTCTTTTAATTTATTCCATAAAATCTTTAATAATTTATATGTCATATAAACAAAGTCTAAAGTAACATACTGGCTGCCATACCAACTAATTTTTAGCTACACATACACACACACACACACACACACATATATATATTGCATATATGTAAATAGTGTGTATATATATACACACACACACAATATAAAATGTGTGTATATATATACATGCACATTTTTCTTTCATTAAATACATAGCAAAAGTGTGAACATTCTTAATACCACTAAAAATACATCCAATAAGAATTGTGTCATATAGTTAAAATTTTTCAAAATGTGCACATATTATTTTTTAGCAACTCGGTTCATTTTTATAGTTTTTGATTACATATATCAATAATAGATATAATGATAACTCTTTTCAGAGTATGTTCAATATCTAGAGCCTTTTAACAACAGGAAAAGAAACCAAATTCTAAAATTTTATATACATGTGTGTGTTATATATATTTTATTTATAAATGATATATATGTTATTATTTATATAAGTGATTTTAAGAGACTTTACAATAAAAAGATGTAATGCTAGGAATGACATTTGTGGAGGAATTGCACTGAAAATAGGTTATATTCTCTGCTGAGGTCTGGTTTCACCTCTGCTTAGAACCAGCTATACATGTAGTGATATGAGTAACAAAAAACTTTGGCTTAGAAGGTTCAAGGAGTAAAAGGAAAGATGCAGCCATTCTGAACATCCAAGAAGAGGTTGTTTGCTTAGTTATGGTGGGCATGGAAGCATTATAGCATTTAAAGTCCTTTGGATATAGCTGAAGGAACAATCGAAGAGTTCTATTCTTAAATGGCAATATGCACACCATGCAGAAGTCATATTCCTTAAAAATATTTGTACCTATAAAAGACAAAAAATATATCAATTTTTAAATGTGCAAATGAACACAGAATTTTTTGAACATCTTTCAGACGGAAAGGGAGGAAAAAAAATAAGACCATGGGCAGGGAGGATCTCCTGTGGCCAATACAATCTCTCAGGTCCCTGTGAGGCTGAGCAGGCCTATGCCATCCAGCCTCAGTGACTTTTATTTTCTGAGACTCTCAGGGAGCTATTTAAAAAGATTTTTTTTAAAAAGACTGAAAGGCTATGTGCAGGCATGTTTACAGTATATCAGTGTTTATTTCTTGATGGCAAAATTAGGAATGATTTAAAAAACTTTCTTCCTTTTTATATTATTATTTGTAACATGGCTATGTGTTATTTTAAAGAAAGAAAAAAGAAGTTATTTTTAAGGGTATATGCAGCAGACTTAGGAGCAAACCTCAACTCAGAGATGCCAACTTCTCTAGTCCTGTAAGATCCCACCCTGCTGTCGCCTGAGGCTGGGATGCTGGGATGCTGGCAAAAGGGTTAGTGCCACAGTAGTCATGGGTCCTGGGGGAATGTGATTTCCCTGTGAATTTATACACAAAGGCAATGGAGCTTCATCCTCACATGCGGCTGTTCTTTCGTCTGCTGTTCTAACTAATTTCAAAGAAGAAGATTTGTTTTAATGCTTGATACCTGGCAAGGAAGAAACCTTTTCTTGTTTCTTGTTTTTGTAAAAAGTCCTTAAAAATCAAGCCAGTAACTGTCCTTTCTCCTTGTGCAATAATTTTGAGTCAGGTTTCTAATTTGTCAAGTTCTAGAACACACTTTATAAAAGCATTTTTTAAACTGCTACTCTTGTTTAACAGTAATCTACCTTTTCAACGATTTTTTTTTTTTCTTTTTTTTTTTTTAGAAGGAGTCTTGCTGTTGTCACCCAGGCTGGAGTACAGTGGTGTAATCTTGGCTCACTGCAACCTCTGCCTCCCAGGTGCAAGCAATTCTCCTGCCTCAGCCTCCTGAGTAGCTGGGATTACAGGCACCCACCACCACACCCAGCTAATTTTTGTACTTTTAGTAGAGGCGGAGTTTCACCATGTTGGCCAGTCTGCTCTCTAACTCCTGACCTCAGGTGATCCACCTGCCTCGGCCTCCCAAAGTGCTAGGATTACAGGCATGAGCAAAAGAGATTTTTAAAAAACAATAACATACTCCTAAATACATTTATGTTTTCAGTTAGATTTATCTTTTCTTTGCTTTGAAACCTTCACAGAGGCAGGGCATTATCAAAAAGGTATGCTTGTTCAGAGGCTCTAAGTAACTGCTAAAGATAATGAAGCTAATAGAGAAGCATAAATGGGAGGAAAATGCCTAATCTATATACTTCTCACCGATGAGAGCAGAAAGAAGGCTGTGATAAACAGGGAAAAGAATGTCCATATCTTTACATCTTCATCATCGTATGAGGCCTCAACATTTTGCAATGCATTTAGGGACCATGAAGAGTTCACATCCTGGTTGGATGTGGTTCCTTCCCTCTTTGAGCCACTAGCCTGCTCTGTACTCCGTGAGGTCATACCTAACATGATAGTTACTACACACAGATCTTTTCTATTACCTTGGATTATAAACTAATTGAGGACATGATTGCTGACTGAATTGTCTTTGTATTTTGTACTACCTTGCCATCCTTATTGTCAACTATCCCTAATTAAAAAAAAACGGGGGCTCAAAAGGTGTAGGCAAATGGATTAATGAACAAATAAAGAATATAATAGTTTTCTGTGGTTTAGAGAAATCGTGTAAACAAGGATACAGTAAAGGAAACAAGAAATTAAGAAGTGAAATTAATCAAAATTAGTAATATAGATTTTGAGAATGATTAATATTAATCAGAGTTCAAAATGATTTCATTTGAATCAGGTGAGCTTCTCTGTGTCCTAGGAGTCAAGCGGAAAGTATTAAGAATCTAAGACAGGGTTGGAAAAGACCATTTGCTTGTCTTGCCCTGTTAGCTACCAGATAGCTGGAGGAAAACACCTTCCTCCACCTTGGGCATTTCAGTGGTCCTTTTCCTCCTCCTCCCCTTTCTGGATAGACAGGACCTGAGGATAGAGGGACACATGACATCTGATACTGAGGTGAAACATCAGTGACAGTGGCACCAAGAAGCTGCCCAGGAAAGATTGGGCTGCGATTCCTCAAGCAGAATAGAAACAAGCCTTCTCACAGCATTCAGAACAGAAAATATAAAACCAATATTCACTTTTGTACAACATTGTACTTGATGAATCCAACCTGTTTCCAACCTGCATTATTTGGTAAAGAAGATAAACACATCATAAATATCAATAACACATGGTAAAAGGTGATGGGCACTAAAAGTTAGATCAGAACTACCTCAAACTGGCAGAGGGAGTTTAGAGATACCTGTGGGGAAGATCTTGGGCTAGGGATGCAAGCTTTCATCGTCTCCAAATGTAGCACAGCCATACGGAGAATCGCAGCATCTGACACCATTTATCTCTCCAGACACCTCTTACTAAGAGATGGACTGCTCAGAGTTCTCATTTCCCACCATTTCATATCTACAATCTTTCGCTTTTGCTGGTACCTTGGCCTAAAATATCTTTTCCCTCATTCTCTGCCTTCCAAAATTTTACTTGTTCTACCATATAGAGCTGAAACGCCATCTTACACACAGCTTTCCTGAAACCTGATAGGAATGAAATATTGTCTTCTCTGAACTTCTACATTATGTTGCTTTTACCTCTACCTGGTAGTTTTGTTTATATTTTTATTCAGGTGAGCATTTGAGCATTTGTCTATCAAGTCAACTGTGACTCCCTTAAGCTTATTCTTCTTTCTGACCTCAACAGCATCTATCACTGTGCTCTGAACATAGAAATAGTGCTTTATGGGAGAAAAAGCCTGGGCTTTTCAGAGCACAGCATACCTGGATTCTGAACCCAGCTCTGTCATTTCCCATTTGTTGATCTTGGACATTACTGCAACTTTCTATGCCTTCATTTACCCATCCAGACAGGAACTAATAATATCTTCTCAAGGGGGATGGATAAAGATTAGACATAATAAATGTGAAATGTCTGGCAGAGATTAGAGCATCACTAAATGGTAGCAATCACAACTTTTGCTATGATGATTATAATAAAGAGCTTATTGGATAAAGTTATAAAATTACCTAGCATCCACAGTAACTAGGACAGTGCTGAGTACATGGTGGAAGCTGGTAAATATACCTTGACTCTAGCTTGTGGATGGTGAAGTGTCTATTGTTAATGACCTACCTTGAACTCTTTCTCAATATTGGCCAGCACTGCCAGTTCATTGCTAAGTTCTAAAGCCGTCATGACTGGATCTTCACTAGACAATGACAGGTAAGCTGGACTTGCCAGGCCTTTATAGGCATTAATCCTAGATCTGGAGTGGCTAAATGAGTCATGCTTCTGTTTCTGGTTGCAGTCATTGCACTTGCAGAAATAATCATGAGGCCGTTCAATCCTAGCACCCTTCCGCAGGAGGGTATGCACGATTTCATATTCCTGGCAGTGGGCAGCCAGAATGATTGGAGTCACATCATGAGAGAACCGGGTCCCATCTTCATCATAGGCATAAAAATCATCTTGCTGGAGTTCTGATTGGCTAGGACTGGTTGCTAACCTCTTGCCTTCAGCAAAAGCTGGATGACTGAGAATCGCTTCCACAATCCGAACATAACCTTTACTAATGGCTAGAAGCAAAGCATCCCCAACCCGAGAGAGGTTTTCTTTCTTGAGAAGAAGTTCTGTAATTTCCAGATGCTCATTGGCCACTGCCAACTGCAGGGCATTCTGGCCCATGTAATCCACACAGTTAACATTGAGCGAGAGGCATTCTTCTAACATCTTCCGCACCACTGGGATGTTACCATATTCAGCTGCATCTAAAAAGCGTTCCTCCTCTACAGATAGGCTTGTTGAGCGATCACTAAACATGTATGCTGGTCCTCGATTAGCTAACCTTCTCCCTTTCTCACGGAGAACTGTCTGCCGCCGGTGAGCCAGTCTGTTGTCAGATCCCCGGCTGCAATAAAACAGAAAGATTGTAAACAAATCATATTAAGAGCATTTTAGTGTGCCAAATGACCTGCCATTCATCTAATACAATCCTCAAGTATATTAGATGTTGTCTCATCATCTCTAGACCTATTATATTAAAAAATGAAGATGCATTTATTTATTAATGGATTCCAAGAACTTCACGTCTAAGAAAGCCAAGCACTTTGCAGATTTTAACATTCCAATTTGGGGTGGAGACTAGCAATTGCCATAAGCACTCTGTGCCATTCAAATAGAAACTAATGTACATTTCTCAAATATAGATGGTATAGACTTAGGAAAGATGGACTCTCTTATCCATAATCAGTCACCAATGTGATAGAGAATGTAAGACTAATTTTTAAAAAGTAGAGACAATAGAAAATCAATTCAAGTTAACAAATATTTATTGTTAACAAAATATTTATTATCCCTCTGATGCCAAGTCCAGGAACTATATTAGGTCCAAGAAAACCAACATATATATAATATATATATATATGCTCTTTCCTGCTTCTGGATCTTCTACTGAAGATCTTCACTAGAAGATCCAGAAGCAGGAAAGGTTCAAGTCTTATAGACTAAAGAGAGAGATGGGCAATCAGCACATTGCTTTGTTATCAGCTGTTTAATTATAATGATAAGCCTATAGTGGGGCATCTATCTCAGATTCTGAGAGAAAATGACATGCCGAAAATGGAAGGATGAGTAGAAGTCATGTGAGCGTGTGTTTTGAGAGGGTAAGACAGGGGTTGGGTATAGGTTGAAAGTTTTCTCTAGCAGAGGTATCAGCTAGATGTTAGAGTAGAGGTTTCATTAACATGGCCAATAAGTGCTTGAACTCTGTTGTCTCAAAAATCACTGCAAACTGGAGAAAATTGTGATGCAGGTGCCAGGTAGGAAAAAACACTCTTATGGTACAGGAAGTGGTCAGAGCAGTGGCCAGCCTTCAATGCAGTCCTTCAATCTGTGATAAGAAGGGAAAGTATCTGGGTGCTATGGCTCACCCCTATAATCCCAGGACTTTAGGGGGCCAAAGTGGGAAATCACTTGAGCCAGGAAGTCAAGACCAGCTTGGACAACATGGCAAAGCTTCATTTCTGCAAAAAATAGAAAGATTGATGGTGCACGGTGGCACAAGCTACTTAGGAGGCTGAAGCAGAATATCAACTGAGCCCAAGAGGTTGAGGCTGCAGGGAGCCTTGATCATGCCACTGCCCTCTAACCTGGGTGATAGAACAAGATCCTGTATTTTTAAAAAAGTGGGGGGGTGAGTGATTCTTCCTCTCATCAAAATTCTATAATAAATATTTTTTCTTTATTAATTCATAACTTTATGTCTTAAGGTCTTTTGAGCTTGAAGGGATCTCATTACAATTAGATGTTCAACTCCTATTGGTATCACTAACTGAACCCAAAGAAGACATGTTTTGCAGAATTGGGGAAGGGCCAGGTTATAAGGGAGGCTAAAAAGAAAGAAAAGTGTGATAAATGAGTATTATTTCCTCTCTTTACGTATGTTCCAAGATGAACCCCTCTTTAAAAACTGTCACAAACTTCCCAGTACAAAGAGGACAATAAAAAGATCCAAGGACCCCATAAGCCATCTTTCCCTCTAATATAGTCAGGTCTGGAGAACCTTAGTTGCTTTCCCTACTGGTCTTTATCAACCTTGATTCCACATCTCCAGACAATGTGGTCTGTGGCAGTGTGATGGCCAGCAATAGAAAGGAAGATAGTAAAGTTTCAGCAACTCATGGATTTTCTCCTTGGAGGAGCTTGAAGAGTATGCTGCCATATTCCAAATATTTTTTATAGATTTTCATTCAATAGTGATTCCTTTAGCTATCCAAGGCCTCTCTAAAACCAACCAAACTGATGTTTTCTTAAGAGACAACTTTGTAAATTTCAAATAATAATAATAATAATAAATAACATGAAAGGCCAATATCAAGTTATATATGATATGATAATAACTTCTAAAATGGGTCATTAGATAATGTATGTGCAACTTTTATTAATTATAAGGGAACAGTATCTGTTAACTATTTTGTCCTGTAGCTATTACTTTATTTTTAATTCCATTTTAAATTCTATTAGTTATACATGTGCATATTTTAGTTTATTCTCACCATGTCTTGATCTCCAGAAGTAAAACATTTTAATTTAGCTATTTTAGCTGGTTTTTAAAATAATTTTAAATGTTATAATCACATAGCTTTGGTTATATTTTTATTTCTTGATTTTTCAGGTTTGGCATTACCTACGGACTTCCCTTTACAGCACACCCTCACATTTCTCTCTCTCTCTCTCTCTCTCTCTCTCACACACACACACACACACACACACACACATACACACACACACATACATAGACCCCCTTCATGGTTCCTTATTGTTCCAGTATTGTTATATCATGACTATTTTTTAGGTAACTATTTACTGTTTACATTATGACAATGCAAGTGCTAATCATAGCTAAGCAGTATACTACTGTGACTTTCAGGTACAACTTCCATGCAAGCTGAAACCTAGTAGGTAAAAATTCTTTTCATTTGCTCAGTGCTCTATATACATATGACTAATTCAATCAAACTCTCTTCTCCATCAATGTAAATATTATTTTAATATATTCAACATATTATGAGTATTTCTTTTTTCAATTTTGGAAAACCTGGACCAGCTGCTGTCTAGACTTAATGCATGTATGTTATCTCTGAATCTTCCCTTTGGTATCATTCCAAGGATTCTCTTTGCTTTGCTTTTGTATTGGGGTCCTTGTTTTCTGTATCCCAGATCTTCCTTTTTCTGAGTGGACTTCGTTGTTCTAGTTCAGGACATCTGCAAACAGCTGACTAATAAAACATGTGTAGGTAAATTTTTAAAGGTGTACGTCTAAAACTGACTTTGTCCTACCTTTAACTGAACTGAGTTTGGCTGGGTAGAGAATTCAAGGTTGAGGATAATTTTGGAGGCCTTGCTCTATTAAATTATAGTTTTGTGGCCATTGAGAAGCCTGATGCAATTTTGATTATGGGTATTTTCTTTGTCTCTGGTGTTCTAAAATTACATGGTTGTTTATTGAAGGGAGTCCCTTCTCCTCCATACTGCTACCCATTTAATATGGGGGGAAAAAAAGTGTTCTTTTCTAAGAAACATTCTTGCCCTATTTATCTGATAATTTTGTTTTTTGCTTTCAATGTACCATTTCTGGAATTCCTTCTTTTTGAATGTTGGACATCCTGGAATTGTCCTTTAATTTTCTCATCTTTTCTCTTATATTTCCAATTATTTATGTTCAACATTGTTTATGATATTCTAGGAAATTTCTCCAACTTTTTATGAAAATTGTTATTATATTTTTAGTTTTCAAAAACATCTTTTTGATTTTCAAATGTTACTTTTTATAAGACTCTTTTGCTTTTAAAGGCACAAAAATTTTCTCTTCTCCCTCTGGAGATGTTAATGATAAAGATTTGTGATGAAGATCATAATTCATAGAACTTAGTCCTGAGTTGCTTTTCTGTGTTTGTTTGCTTTGGTCTCTGTATTTCATAGTAGAATTTTTCCTCCTATATCTAGTGATTCTTAGTAGATTCCTTATGTCTTTTCTAAGAGAGTATAATTTCCTCTTACAAAAACTAGACTGAAGCTAATGTCAGTTTTGGCAAAAGGTGATTCCTGAGTTAGGACTGAGTGAGTTTCTAGAAGAACCACATTATTTCTGAGTTAACAATATGGAAGATGTAGAAGAGACAGATCATCAAGGTTTGTTACATGAGCAACCATCTATCATGTTCCTGCTGAATTCTTAACCCTCTTCCCCTTTCTCTGTCACTTTTCTGGCTTTTACTTCTTATTTTTAGCCTTTTACTTCCTCTCTCTTATCTTCTTTTAACCTCTTTAGTCTTTTACTTCCTCTCTCTTGTCTTCTGTATTCATTGCTTTGCATAGTTTCTATTGCAGACAAGAGGAAGTTCAAAGATTGGGAGAGAGACAGTATCTTCCAACATGGAGAATACTTTGAAAAAGAAAAAAATGTAAAATTAAGGGAAAAACAAAATAGGATCAAGCATCTATAAAAGTAAGATGAAAGTACTAGGAGTGAGAACCTGCAAGAAAAGTTCTCACATAACTAAAATAATGACAAAAAATTGACACAAAATAGTAGCACATACCAAAACATGAAGAACAAGCCTCCATTTTTTTAATCTATTAAAATGGAGGAATAATTATTCTGACCTATCTCAAAGGACTATTTTCAGAGCTAATTGAAATTATGAATGTGGAAAGCATTTTAATTTGGATTTAATTTTTTCACAACCATGTCAATAAGAATAAACACTTGCATAGTACTTACAAAAATAAGGACACTTGGACTTTATTACTTTTTTAGCTGTTATTCAGTTAGAAGACCCATGAGAAAGGCAAGAACTGAGATGGTAACTGATATAAGTCGTAGGTCTTTTTTTGTCTGTTTTTTCAGACAGGATCTCATTCTGTTGCCTGACTATAGCCACAGCCTCCCAGGCTCCATCAATCCTCCTTCCTCAGCCTTCTGTGTAGCTGGGACTACAGACAAATGCTGCCTCATTCAGCTAATTTTTGTATTTTTTTTGTAGAGATGGGGTCTCACCATATTGCCCAGGCTGGTCTCAGAACTTCTGGGCTCAAGTGATTCTCCCACCTCAGCACCCCCTGCAGACTGACATTACCAGGTGTGAGCCACCACACCTGGCTTTTGTTTGTCTTTTTAAAGAAGGAAAACTAATAATTAGCAACTTTGTTTATATCTCAATTTTTTATCTGGTTTAGAAAAATTTATTTTTTCATCCAATACTAAGTTTACACTGAGCTAGATAGAGTAACTCTGAGTTGTGGCATCTTTTATTCTAAAATTTAAAAATAACAATCTATGATTTTCCTACCCATTTATTTGAAAAATGACAAGTTCTATCTTGGCAAGCCACTAATCCTAAGGATGTG